GACTACGATTATTATACATATTATGTACCAAATTCAATGGTTTCTGATTGAATTTTCAAAATTAATTAAAATAAAGACTTTTTGGAAAAAAAGATAAAAGTAATTAGGGATCAAGTTATAAAGTTTATAGCCATTTATTAAGGGTTTTTACCAAAAATTGATGAATTCTTCTGGTGGATAATTACTTATCTTCACAAATATACAATTTTTTTGGAAAAACATTCAGAGAAATGCAAAATTTTAGAATATGATGATTACAAAATAATTAAGTTGTATTGTTGAAAAAAGTATAAAAACAACGTCAATACCTCATAAAAACTGCGTGCTAATTGCATATTCGGTCTTCGTTTTTTCCACAAATTATTATTTAAAAATAAAGGATTTGTAGGGTGTTGAGGAGATGCTGCATCTCCAACAGAAGATTTAGAGATTTGGTAACAGTCTTGATATAGATTATACACCTGGTTCCTGAAACCAGAGTATTTGGTACTTCTTGTGCTATATTCATCATCTGCTACTACAATTACATTATCTCACGTAGAAATAATATTTCTGCTTAGCGAAATTCGCTAATGCAAATAATAAATGCAACAATATTAAATACCAGAGAGAGAGTATTCAAAGTTATGTTTTTTTATTATTAGTTTATAGTTATAAAGTTGCATACATTGTATGTTCGATCCAGTGCCATGATAATTTTACTACTAAATCACCACAACCGTTGTCATCAGTAACGTTTTTCGGACGAACATCGCCATCATCTCCGAATTCTACGAAACGATCGTACTCACATTGGAATTGGGGTAAGCCATCAGTGGCGTTTTGGCAACATTTACTTGATAATTCCCTCCATTCCCTAAAGAGTGATTTTAAATAAATTATTCGTTAAAATGAAAGCTTTCAAAATTAAAATTATTTTGAATTACTTTTAGTATGCAAAAAATATAATGCAAATTTGATTTTTAACTTTGATTACCGAATTTCAGTAATAAAATAATTTGATTTCAAATGAATACAAATTAGCAAGTATTTCGATTTTTTTTAATTTGTAGAAGTAAAAAACATACTGTCTGCCAAATAATCCATGGAAGTATAGAAAATCTGCGAGGGAACGTATCTAAATCAGATAATTAAATTGCATATGTAATAAGTAGTACATATACAGAGTTTTCATTAAAGTGGAAATAATTAGCAAATGAATACAAATTTCAAAAACTTACGTTCAATTTTTGGCTTACATAACCATTTCCAACCATTATTCCTTTGAAATTTAATGCATAACTGTGCTCCTAAAAGTATAAACAGACTTGACGCCAAATAATAAGCGTGAAAATCACGCAAAAAAGAATAATATACAATATTGTGATTTTGATATTTATGTAAAAAATGACAAAAAATATAGCATAGTAAGGAATTCAAATAATATATTATCAGTAAACGTCTTTCAATCAGAAGAAATATCAACAGTAGCTATTTTATTTTATTCAATATATTTTTTGGTAATTTAAGTTAAATAATACTTGCAAATATAATACTTCCTACAGAAATCGTAAATTTTAGCAGATTTTAATAAAATAACATCAATAGTGATTCGCATGATAAGATCAAATACTTTGAGAGGGCATTGCAATCTGTTACTATCAAATTTCAAGCTCATTGGCGCTGAAGCAAATATTGAAATAATTCATACTTGCATGTATTGAAGTAAGTAAGATGTGAGCAAAGGTACGTACACACCGCCATATGACTCGCCAGCTATGTAAAATTCTTTAGATGTTAGCTCGGGAAATATCGTGAAGAAATCCAGTAATGCATTTAAAGCATCTGTGGCCGTCTGCAATTTCAATCACACTTTAACAATATCCCATACTTTCCTCATGGAAGCAGCATTTTGAGTTACAAGGAAGAAAGATTTTTGATTTGAAACAGCAAAATTGTTGACTGTTTTGACAAATCTCGTGCTAGCAAATGATAAATTATTGCTTCATATCAATAATAGATAACTTAATCCACTTATAGTTTATTTTAATTTCACGTTCAAGTACTCGAATCACACTTAATTTTAGATATGCGTTCAAGTAAAACCACGGCACACTGATCTATGCTTACTCAAATCACTGAGCAATGTTTAATGTGCAAATAAATCAGTGTATAGTATTTACAAGTTGAAGTTGTCCACTTAGAACACTTGATTTCTCATAAACATCAAAGCCTGTCATGAAAATTGAACCTTTTCATCATTCCATTGATCATCGTTGTTTGCCATTTCATCCTGATAAGAAAATCCAACTTTTCGTGGTGAATCGATGAAGAGAACATTTGCCATCTCAAAAATTTTCAAAATTATTGGTTACATCAATTATGCGCAAAATAGATAGATCAGTTACGATTACTAATATGCTTTATGCGCAAAATAGATCAGTTACAATTACTAATATGCTTTATGCATACAAAATTAGCATTATTTTTACTAAAAAAACATTAAGTTATAATGAAATTAGCAAAAAGCTGTTTTTGCTTTTAAAGCAAGTTTTCTCTTGTATATGTTTAAAAATGACAAAATAAAGAGATAGTTATTCATGCAAATTTAACCTTATTCCAAGAGAAGACGTATTCATACAATGTCTCTCCATCAGGATTTGGCCGGAACGGACCTAATTCACTGAGTAAGCCAAGTATCGAACTGCAACCTGGTCCTCCATTGAACCACAGAATCAACGGCTTATTTTCAGGATCTGTTTGGGATTCCATGTACCTAAATTGATTCTCATATCATTTTTAAAAATAGAAATGTATAATCAAAATATTGCCATACAGCAAATGAATAATAAAACTCAAAATTTTCAGCATTGGGACGAAAATAAATGATATATATGTAAAAATTGTACTATTTGTACTTACATTTCCTCCGCACAGATCGAAATGCTATAAAAATGCATTTAGTTGGTGGAGAATTTAATTTTCGGAACAGAATCTTAGCAAAAATTAACTCATATGAAGTCATATAATTGTAAGAAT